GTTCCACTGTGTCCTTGAAGGGGAGCACGGTGGGCTTAGGGTTCAGAAAGTAGCTGTTTAATAGACAGAGCATATTTGGATTTCTAAGGAGAAGCATTGAGAAGAATAGAATGTGGAAGCATCACTAGTGATAAAAGAGAGGGTTCAGGCTAGAACTGAGTCTAGAAGATGTAGATTTAATAATTTGCCTGGGAACAAATCTGACCTAGGTGACATGTTTCTTGCTCCCAACGGAGATTCTGTAACTGTCAGACATTTCAAGTGTTATCTAGGTTTTACCATCTACCTTTCATTTATTCCTTAATTCACATGTCCAACAAATATTTGTTAAATACTCCCCTCTACAGACATTTTCATGATCCCCAGCTCCTCCCCCTCCTACTTGCCCTCTAGCCCCACCATTCAGTGCCCTCAATGTTCCCAGCTCAGAGCAGTTTGAACGTGGCGACCAACTCACCTACATTGAAGGGAGAGGAATTGGCCTGCAGGGTCTTGGCAAAACGGGCTGCTATTGGTAAGGTTGTCTCAGGGTTCTTCTGGCACAGTGCCAAGATCGCCAGACTGGGCCCATAGAAGCTTGAAGCCTCAGCGTTGGGGCCTTGGGAGAGGATAGAGGGCCTACATAAGACTAACATTCACCACAACGAGGACATTTGTGAGATAAGAAATGCCAAACCTTTTAAATAGACATTGCTAGAAAACCTGTGCAAAAAGAAAGATACCTTATTGGCTAAAGATCCCATCTATATTTCTCTGGCATGAGAATGGAATGAAAAGGGTTGGTGCTGTCTTCTGCCAGGTGATGGCATGGTAAGGCTGTGGCCCTGGGCTACTGGTCTTTTCTGGTTCATTTTGGATTGGAAGTGAGTAACTCATCTATGGAATTAGCAGAGGGAACCTGAGTGGAGATACCTTGTCTCTTTCCTAACTTCCCACTCTCCTACCTGTTTATTTCTAGGTGTAAAATTCTCAGGAAGGACCATTTGCCTCACCCTCCTGTCCCTTCCGACGAGGTCTTACTTGAAGGTTCCCAGGTCTCCATTTGTCTCTGTAGAGTGGACACTTTATTCCCAGGGTCCCGGCAGGAGGAGGTGAGGGCCATGATGGTGAGTGCAAGCTGACCAACGGTCATATCTGCACAGCAGAGAACAAAATAGTTAAAGGTATTTTCAGGCAAGAGAAAGCAACAGGGGCCAGAGCTAAACTCTCTACTTCTTTCCAGATCATTTTGAATTTTAAAATAATGTGATTTTTTTAATGTGTCTTAATTCTTAAAGAAAGAAGTACTGAAAAAATACTTAAGGAACATTTAATCCAGTGGCCTCTATGTGACTTGAGAACTCCACCAAGAATCCACGGTGTTTGTTTAGAAAAGCAGCAAGAACTCCCATACAAATTCACATATGAAAATTTATAGTTGCAAAATAATTTTTTAAAATACATTTTTCTTGATTTTAGAGAGGAAAGTAAAGGGAGAGATAGATAGAAATATCAATGATGAGAGAGAATCATTGATCAGCTGCCTCCTGCACTCCCCACACTGGGTATCGAGCCCACAATCTGGTCATGTGCCCTGACTGGGAATCAAGCTGTGACTCCCTGATTCATAGGTCAATGCTCAACCACTGAGGCACACTGGCCAGGTGAAAAATAATTTTAACTTTATTTTTTAACTTGAGATTCAAGGCAACTCCTGTGAGGGAGCAGAACAGAGATTTGATGATTATTATCCTTGTTGTGATTGCTATTAGTGTTACTGTTATTAGAATCATCTGAATTTTGCAAATGAGGAGAATGAGCTTAAGTAGGATAGAGAGACTGTTCAAGGTCAGAGTTAATAAGTGGCCGCTCCAGAACTGGAAGCCCGCTGTTTTTCCATCTAGTCTAGAGCTCCTTTTGCGTTAGTGCACTTCTCTATGAATGTCCTAACTTCATACACAGATCTTTCCATGTGTTTTCCAGATATGTTGGGAAAGGTGTTTGGGAGATTTAGATACATTCAGAGACCACCACATTGGGGTTGGGGATTGGGAGTTGGGATCTGAGGTGGTGAACAGTGTGCAGGATTCAGGGAGCATGTGAATGGAGAGGCTTGGACTTCTCACCAGCTGTGTCAGTGGCCATGAGCTGGTGAGTCAGGAGCTTCTGGGCCTCCAGGTTGTAGGGTCCAGCCAGGTTCATGGCAATCAGGACGCTGGGGTTGGGGTAGGTTGAGTGGGTCACAGAGTTCTCCATAAGCACTTGCATACTGTTAACCAAGGGCTGCTGTGCTGGGGGAACAGCTGAGAAGAGACAAGCCATTTACAAAACCCCTCACCCTTTTCCCCTCTTCCTTGTTCCCTCGGTCTTTTAGGAGAAGACAGGATTAGCATTTCAATCATCAGTGATGCTTCTCAGGGCTGATTACTAAAGAGAAATGGAGAAAATATTGAGATTTTTCTTCAGAAGCCAATTAGTCTCTACATCTTGTCAAATACTTTTTCTTTTTAAAGAAAGTGATTTCTCATTTAACAACTTCAAGCAATATGTCTTGTGGACAGTTCATATTATTTCCAGCACATTCCCCCCAAATCACTGTTTTCCTTGCATCCATTTTTTCCCCTCATTCTGTAATAACAAATTAAAGATTTGAGATATGACTCAGTGGGTACCCAAAAGGGATCTAGTAGAGGTACCTGGTAAGAAAGGCTCACTGGGTGTGGCTTTGTACCATCATTTCTGAAACAGTATTTTAATCTCTCTTTATATGAAATGCATAGTATTAAGTCAGGAAAGATGAATCACACATGCCCACCATGGCTCACCATTTTGGAGCTCCTATAGTGATTGCTTTTTTCACCACTTTCTTATCAGCAAACCTGTGCCTGAGGTTTCCGCCTGTCCCCTGGGTATCTGCTTCCCTGACATCCTCAGGAAACACACCATACTTACAGCATGAGCTTCGGGTCTGGGTGCTGGTCCCAGCCGTAGCCCAGAGAAGGTTCAGGAGGTAAAAGGTAAACCAGGCCATCCCTCTCTCTCCTGTTCTGTCCACGTCTCCAGTTAAAAAATCCCAGTATTATTAAGAGGAGTATTCCTCTACTTTCTCTTATATAGGCTCCTCTTAATGGAAAGTCTGCCCTCCACCCCCATCCCAGTCACTCCTAACAACCTCTGCTGACCTCTCTCCCCCCGCATAGAACTAATGTCCTTATGCTTATCTAAGTTTACCTACTACAGACCTTCCAAGGTGTCCGAAGGTGACTTCTAGGTAGCACAGTCATATGAGAAACTTGGGCTGCGTGTGTAATGAAGGCAATGACAAAGTGCCCTTTAGCCAAATTCTGGGTCTTTACACTGGGAGTATGGCTCAAGACTGAGATAAATGAGACTTCCTCCCAGGGTTACTCCCTGTCAGACCACCTGTGTCTTAACTGCAGCCACTTCATTGAGGTGTGTGTGGTTCCTAACACAACACCTCACTTCATGGTTTGAGGTATGTGCTTTACCATATGCCCTTTGAGGCTCTCAGGAAAAGATCTGCCAGGTGAAGTCTGGCTTTATGTAATCAATGAAGTTGACATGACCTGGACTCCGGCCTAGGCTCTTTGAAGTTGTTTGACTTTAGGCAGGCAAAGGACCTGCTTCCCAGAAATTTTGTTTGACTTCTCTTTCCTTATCTGGAGATGAAAGTATTTTTTCAGATATTATCTTTTAAAGTAAGTAATTAGAAAATGTAAGATCCATGCACTATATTAAGTGTTAAGGATATACAGGTGTGGGCAAAAGAACTCTGTGCCAAAGTGTGCTTGGATATAGCAAGTAGACTACAAATATTCTCATGGAGGCTCCCTCACTTCTTTCATGTCTCTGCTCAGAGGTCAGCTTTTAGTGAGGTTTCCCCAGACCACTGTATATAAGACATGCTCACCCAACGACCCTCACTGTGCACCTTACCTGTATCACTTCTCACTATGTGTGCAGTTTATTTATTGTCTGTCGCCTTCCAACTAGAGTGTCTGCTCCAAGAGGCTTTGTCTATTTTGTCCATAGCTCTGTCCCCAGCATTTGAGATACTACCTAGCTCATAGTAGGTACCACTTGAATATCTTTAGAATGAGTGAATTAGTGAACAAATATAAGACAGGTTATAAATCATATTTTTCATTTTCAGGGAATGTTAGTGGTTTTTGTGACGTGAGAGCACAGGGCACATGTTGGGGTGTGCTAGAAAGCTTCTAGCATGGCTCCATGTTCCCAGCTCCTGGTATATGCCCTTGCATAACCCCGTTCTCTAGAGTGTGGGCTGGCCTTGTCTCTAATGAATATAATACAGCAAAAGTAATGGAATGAGGTTCCAAAAGACCAACTTCCTTCTAGCTTGCAGTCTCTCTCTGGCTCTTCTCATTTTTTGCTCTGATGAAGCCATCTGTCATATTGTAAGCTGTCTTGGGGAAAAACCATGTGTTGAAAACTGAGAGAAGCTTCTAGCCAACAGCCAGGGAGGGAGGGATCCTATCAATGACCATGCAATTTTTATTTATTGGCTCAAGCATCAAGTCTCATGTTATGTCACTCTGCTTCCTAATGTTATTAGCTGGAAAGCAGAACCTTCCCCAGTCAAGCTTTGAGATGAAGGAGGCACCAGGCGGCATCTTGACTTCAGCCTTGTGAGAGACCCTGAGCCAGAGGACCCAGTTAAGTCTTCCCTTGGATTTCTGATTCACAGAAACTGTGCGATAAGAAATGTTGTTGTTTTAAGCCATTGAGTTTTAGGGTAATTTTTAATGCAGCAATATATAATTGATATATGGCCTATGTGGGAGATGAGACCAGAAAGATAGTTTGGCCCTGCATGGTGGAGGGCCTTGTGTGCCATGTGAGGGAATATAGACAGAATAATAGCCACTCTAGATGTCCATATCCTAATCCCTGGAACCGGTGAAGGTGCTGGGTTACCCGGTAAAGGGAATTAAGGTTGCACATGGAATTAAGGTTGCTAATAAACTGACTTTAAGATAGGAAGATTATCTGGGATTATCTGAGTGGGCCCAAAGTAGTCAGAGCAGTTCTTATGAGTGGAAGAGTGAGGCAGGAGAATTAGAGTCAGAGACGGTGATGTGATGATGGAAACAGAGTGTTGACTTTGAAGGTGGAGGGAATGTGAGCCTAGGAATGCAGGCATCTTCCCAAACCTGGAAAGGCAAGGAAATAGATTCTCCCCTAGAAACTCTAGAAGAATATAGCTCTTTCAAAACTTTGATTTCAGACCAGCGAGATCCATTTCAGATTTCTGACTCCAGGACTGTATGATAATAAATTTGTCTTGTTTTAAGCCAATAAATTTTTGTGGTAATTAGTTACAGCAGCAATAAGAATCTAATACAGAAATAGGAACCCAGCGTATTGCTGATCTTGGGTTCCAGAGCCTGTGCATGACCATCCTGAGAGAATCCACACACCCTGGTGTTCCCACTCTTTAAACATACACTTCCTTATAAATTACCTCTATGGCCATGGTTACTGCAGATTGATTATGACATAGTTGCTTCACTTAGCAAATAACTTGCAGACAGGAAACCATAGACCATACATTACTTCACTACACAGTATGTTTTGACAGTTCTTGGTTAATTATCGATTGGGCTTATTTATTTATTTGCTTTTTTCCTGTGCCTAATTTCCTAGTATCAAAGCACCCAGACTCCCTCTCTGGACATTTTAAAGGTTTATTTGAGTTGATTATTCTTTGCTGTGGCAGCAGATGGAAGTTTGTCCCTTCAGACAATATGTAGGTTTTATAATAGTCCCAAGACTTAGGTGCTTCTGAGAATGTAAGTGAGGCCAGAGCGAGGTTTCACCAAGTTCATATTAGTGGACTGGTAAGGGAATGTGATTTCATTAACCATCTGGATATCTCTGAGATTAAAGGAGTTTCTACCATATGGCAGTGTTACTACCTTCTATTTAGAGACCACTGGCTGGAGAAACTCAGCTCTCTTTGTTCAAAATGAATGCTAATAACATTAGGAAGTATAATGTGAGACTTGATGCTTGAGCCAATTGGAATAATTAAATAAGAATTATAAAGGAAATGACTTTTTAATGCTGAGAGAGAGAGAGAGAGAGAGAGAGTGTTAGGGATCTCAAAGGGACATCCAGTATTCCAACCTTGTTATATTGAGAGTCAATTTCATTGGTCAATTATAGGGTCAGTACTTTCTGTTATTTTGACATATTCATGTCTATGTTTTTTGCTTAAGCTTCTCTGTTTTTCCTTATGGGCAAAATAGAGCATATGTTTTGGTTTTCCCAGGATAGTCTCAGTTCTTAATCTGTTTTTTCAAATGTAATTATTAATAGTGTTCACTGTCACTCTTTATAGTGTCATGGCTCGATAATAAACTGTATGGTCACACATTTTATTATGGGCAGTAATGCCAATTCTAACATTTTGCAAACCTGCCACCTTAAACCATTATACTTCAATTTCCCATTGGCTATATAGTCTACAAACAGATCTGACAGCTGCTGCCCCATGCTAACAGCACCAAACCAGTGACCTCTGGGTTCATGGTTCAATGCTCAGTTACTGAGCCACACTGGCTGGGTACTATGATTAAACTTTTTTAAAAAAATATATATTTTATTGATTTTTGTACAGAGAGGAAGGGAGAGAGACAGTGAGCCAGAAACATCGATGAGAGAGAAACATCGATCAGCTGCCTCCTGCACATCCCCCACTGGGGATGTGCCCGCAACCAAGGCACATGCCCCTGACCGGAATCGAACCCGGGACCCCTCAGTCCGCAGGCTGACGCTCTATCCACTGAGCCAAACCGGCTTCGGCTCAACTTTTTTTTTTAAAAAATGAGTTCTGCTGAAATGAACATCAGAGGTGATTTTTTGGGCACATCTCTTTAAAAAAAAATTTTTTTTTTTTATTGATTTCAGAGAGGAAGGGAGAGGGAGACAGAAACACTAATGATAAGAGAGAATCATTGATCGGCTGCCTCCTGCATGCATTACACTGGGGATCAAGCCACAACCCGGGCATATGCCCTGGCTGGGAATCAAATAATGAACTCCTGGTTCATAGGTCCATGTTCAACCACTGAGCCATGCCAGCCAGGCTGCATGTTTCTTTTGATGACATGAATATCACATGATTTTTATGAGTAGAAAAGGAAAGTAAATGTGGAGGGGATGATATTTTTCCTTAAACTTTATGTATTGACTTTTTATGTATAAACCTCAAACTTCCATTCTGAGAAGAGCAACATTTTCCTTATTAACCCAGTGCCCGTGTGAGGTCCATTTATCCTCTTGGTTCTTTCCTTGCAATTGGGCCTTTAAGAGCTTGGTCTCCCTACAGGTGTCTAGTTGATCTCATTGCTTGTGGCTGCAACAGTAGACCTAGATAGAACCTTATTTCCATTCTCCCCAGTGGCCCAAGGTCACCCAGATAGTTATCAGGGGGACCTTGAGTAGAACTCAGCTTTTTAGACATGGTTTAATCTTTCACTTCACTTCTTCCTGAGGTGGTCTTCTCTCTAATAATAATCTCCCTTTAAAATAAAATGATTAGAACATACTATTTTTGTATACTTGTTGATATTTATTGAACATGCAAAGAGAGAAAGGGAGGTATTTTAAGCTCCTATTGTGGTTGAGATAAATAAAAAGAAAGGCATGAGGCCAATATCCACATGGAATTCCACTGCAAAAGAATTAGATCCAGCAGAGGAAGGTTTGAGTTGATTAGTATTTGCTCCAGCGAACCTCCAAATTTTCTCCATTATGGACAACATAACTTCCAACTCCTGGAAGGAAGAAGAAAGAGAAGTGGGTCAAATGATTTGACCATCAAATCACTAAATAATGGATATCACTCTCCCAATTCCATGCCACATTTCCCAGAGAAGCTTACACCCTCACATATGAACAGTCTGGGCCTTTTCACTTTGTAGGGCTTTTGGCATACTCTCCCTTACCTTGGCTCACTGGTTTGCCTTCACTCAGAAGTTGCCAGTAGGTTCTGTCATTATGG